ATTGCCACGAGGCTGCTTTCGGGGGAGGGATCCGGGGGAAGGAAGGGGGCCAGGCCCGCCGGGGAGGGTCGGCATCCAGGGGCCGGTGGCCCCCATGTAGTAAGAGTGGCCAGACCCATCGGTAGTAGTTGTAGCGTGTCCCACCAGTTTCAACGCAGAGACCTCAAACTTGATTCACCCCCCAGCCCCAGGACAAAAAAAAAGTATTATTTCTGTGTCGTAATTTGCCAGCACGGACACGCCATTTCTTCTCTTCCCGTCCTCGCAGTTCTGCGGGAGTAGAAAAGCGTGATGTTTCCCTGTAACCACAAGAAAAGAGTACATCTAGAAAGTGTTAATTAGTTGTTACTGGAGGAAGTGACAGTATGTTAAAGCGACTTGTCAGCGTGGTGTTCAAAGGCTGGGGAGATTCAGTCCTGGTCTTGGAACAGTCTTCAGTAGGTGTGGAGGAATTTTTCCAGATTGTTTGATTCTTGATTTAATGGCTATCCAGGAAAGGTTAGGGCTCAATATTTTAAGGATGTGGCTCACCTTCCCCCAGAACATTTACTAGATGCGTAATTCAAGTGTTTGGCAACTTGTAACAGATGTTTAAGCCTGCATGGCTATGCCGTGTTAGAACATTGTGTTCGTGCGAAACCTTTTACTGGAAGACTGTCACCTTTTTGCGCAGGTTGTAACTTTTCAGTTGTTTGCACGCACGTTGGTAATTGACCATGTTCCATTGCATGTTGATTATTATCCAAGTGCCTTCTCTGTGGGAGTTTCTGTACTGACAACTGTAGCAAGTTTGTTTCCTTAGGTTGTTTTATTTGCCATATTTTTTCTTAGGACTACTTGCTGTTTCCGTTATTGCAATCAAAGTGACTTTACCAAGCTTAAGCAGTTTTCCCTAAAGCCGTGCCAAATTCAAGGAATCTTTTATAAGACTGCTCAATCTGGGATTCGTAGAAACTCAGATTGTCTTTTCTCTGTGTGCGTTTTTCAGGGGAATCGTCATCAGATTTTCTTGCCATTTTTGGCTGGGGGTGGCGGAAGAAAACTACTGCCTTTTTTGTTTCCCCATCTGTTCAAAATCCCGGTTTACTAGTATGATATGATAAATCTAGAATGCTCTGAGTAGTTCTCGTCCCACAGGTGCCTAGCTCTGAATTATAGCTCTTTCCAAATCCAAAACCTATGCTCTACTATGTCCTAGGGACGTAGTGAGGAATATTCGAGACAGTCAGTCCTTGCCCTTTAAGGTTAATGAGAGAAAACTAGTAAGCAGGCAGTGACAGCATATCAGCACTTAGGAGGAGTGTCTAATCCGGTTTGGGAGAGTCCGACAAGGGTCAAAGAAGCATTCTTGAAAGAGAGAACCTCTAAGCTGAATTCTGAAAGACAAGCAGGGCTTAACCAAGTAACAAGAAAAGAGCAGGGTGTGCAAAGATGAAAGGAAGAATACCACTGGCTTTGCTGGGTTGGGGTACAGAATGGTGAGGAGTCATTCAGAAGTGTTTGGATTTTAATCCTGACGGCAGTGGGGAGCTACACTGCCTTGCTGTAATCTGCAGGTCTGATAGTAACGGTGACAGAAAGGGCCAGAAGAGGCCGAGCTCTCTTCTCTGAGGCTCTCAGCACATATCCTGATTTATCATTTGAATCAGGTGGGCCCAGGGGAAGAAGAAAAGCACGTTGTAGTAGGGGTCTTCTGACTTGGATCAGATCCTGCCCTCATCATTCCAAAAAGGCTGCCTCCCCCTCTTAGTCTCTTGGCCTCTGATCTTCTCTTTGGTTATGATAATTAAACCAAAAAAAGCCCCACAGCCTTTTAATGGGAGTAGTAAGGCCTGGTCTCCCAGCTCATAGGTCTTGAAAATAAATGTAATTTTTGCATGATTTAGAGTCTGTTCCTTGTTTCTTCAAATAAATACACATTCTATCAAAAACCAGGTGGCCTTTTGGGGCTTGCCATTTTCTTATTTGAGATTGTTAGACCTTATATTGTGAAAAGGTGCATTGCTTTCCAGAGACTAAAAAAATTCTTAAATAAAAATAGTCAGTATTAAATTGTCAGTTTTTATAGCCACTATTAAAAAACATTTTTTGAAATACATTTCTAGATGGGCTGGCAAGAGCGGACACCTGTAAAAGGCAGAGCTAGCCCATTGTTCAGAAGCTAAATGATGGATTTTTCACTCTCCCACTCCTTCCTCTTCGTGGTAAACACTCCAATAAGGATATTGAACTCTGAAGTCACTATTTAGTCAGCCATTCTAACTTTTTAAAGAAAGGTTTGTGATATTGATAAATGGAAGTCATCAGATTATAATTCTCATAATAAGATCTGGGTTTGTCATTTTTTTACTTAATTTAGTTGCACAATTGCACTTTTAAGTACTAGAGATAGTAAGTAACAACTGCATAAATTAGATACTTCTATTTAAAGTAGAAAATAATTATTTTCTATATCGATGATCTTGAAAAATAAGAAAATTTGAGAACCTTAATGGCATACTTAAGATTTTTAGAAATGACACATTCCTGGCCTGTTGAGCAGGCCCACTCTTCTGAGACTTAGGCTCCTTTAGTTGTAACTTGCATAGTTTCAAAAGAAGTTCTTTTCACACTTAAACTTCTTTGTATAATGTTATCCACTTGTTATGATTTTCTGGAGAAGCGTCCATTTTGTTAAGTATTTTTTCCTTCAACTTTGTGTGTGTGTGTGCAGATGTTTGTGGAGTCTTCTGTGGGATCAGAGGGCACGCCTATCGTAATCAGAGAACTCCAAGGATAGCCGGGATGGATGAACAGGCTCTTTTAGGGCTAAATCCAAATGCTGATTCCGACTTCAGACAAAGGGTAAGTTGAGTTGGCTTAATCATTTTTTAAACCGTGTTGCCACAGATTGCATTAGGAGACTTGAATAAAAAATACATTTGATGATAAAGGCTTAATTTGGGTAGAAATGAATAGAGACAAATTTGAGGTGTTTGAACATATTCTGAATACAGAAACAGTGTTGTGATTTATTTTCTGTTTAGTTGGCTCGACGAAAGTATTAAAATCTCATGTGACTCAAGGTAGGTCTTTATGTCACATCAGTCATTATTTCTAATTATTTAAAAGTTGTAATGCAAAGGATTGTTCAAGGGACTTTTCATAGTAGCAGAGATGCATATTTTATTTTTTCGTTGCTTGGCTTGGTCTAAACAAGTTGTTTAGCTCTCATGTTAGTGATATTTAACATCCTTGTTATTTAGTACAGCCAGACATGTAAATAAGCAGTTATGATATGCCATGTTTTAGGTTACGTAAAATGATGCCATGATAAGGAACCCATTATGAGGTGCTGGGATATTTGGGTAAATGTAAGCAATTAAACATAATGTAGCCTCACCTGTAATCATGTCTATAGCTGAATGATAAAAGAAGAATCTACAGAACAAGCCCGTAATTAAATTTTTTAAAGACCTGTGGGTGGTTTGAAGTATAGGGTAAGTGGAAGGAGAGGCATTTTCTCTTCTTTTTTCTACTCCCATAGCAAAGGATATGTTTTATGAATGAGCTAAACGAGGTTAACAGTCTCACTATAATCTCAGTATTATGGCAGTTTTTGTTCTGCTTTTAAGCGGGAATTTTTTTAAGTAGTAAAAAAATCTCAATTTCTAACATAGTACCATGTGCATGCCTCTGCTGTTAAGTAAGTAACCAGCCCTCCAGAGAGAGGGAAATAACAGGAATTGAGATTTAAATATCTGGCTAGGGCCGGCCCCGTAGCTTAGTGCTTAAGCGCGCGCTCTGCTGCTGACGGCCCTGGTTCGGATCCCGGGCGCGCACTGACGCACCGCTTCTCCGGCCGTGCTGAGGCCGCATCCCACATACAGCAGCTAGAAGGATGTGCAACTATGACACACAACTATCTACTGGGGCTTTGGGGAAATAAAAGGAGGAGGATTGGCAATAGATGTTAGCTCAGGGCTGATCTTCCTCACACACACAAAAAATAATAAAATAAAATAAAAAAATAAAAAATAGATATCTGGCTAATTACTAGATACCTATCAAACAGGTTAGGGCATCAAAAGATGTTCCAAGTCCATGTCTTCTATGTGTGGACAGATGTCTCCTTTCCTGGGAGTTGAAGCTACCTGCCCTCCAACCCTTAGTCACAGAGTTGAAGCATCATAGTCATCCCCCTGGTCTGGCTTGGTGTTGCATGGTTACTGTAACTAAACGCTTTTGACTCTGTTTAGTTGTTAGATAGACTTCACTGTTATTTTTTATGGGCCTTTTTTGAAATCTTTTGTTTTTTATTAAATTCCACCATCTGACAAATTTTTTAAATGTG